CTAAAGTTAGAAGCTATACAATGGCGATGAATGAATATCTTAAAATTTTATTGATAAAAAGTAATTACATCGATCAGAAATAAAAATATTATCAATTTAGTTTCTTTGCTGCATCGATATGAAGTTTCGAAACACTTGTTGTTTGTTTTTTTAAATATGATCACATCATTGATTTTATAAAAATTAATGTAATAATAATGATAATATTGAAAAACTTTCTAACCTTTTAAATCTTATTTATCTATCCGTATTGATCGATTCAAAAATAATAATATGATAAATATTTCTCAATTCTTCATTGCATTATATCGCTATAACAAGTAATAATATTAAGATTTTTTATATATATAATTATATTATATACATATATATATATATATAATAATTGTATATAACTGTATATATATATTAACTGTTTTTATATATTATATATCTATTGATTTTTTAATGAATTTTAGTTTCATGAATATTTTTTAGCCTTATGCTTCTTTCAATTTTTTTATTTTGATATGTTTAATAATATGAAAGTAAACAAATTTTCATTTTTCTTAATTAAACTTAATATTATATAATTATATTCTCTTTAGAAGATATGTGGTTTTCTAACTATATTTATATCTTAATAATTTAAATTAAATTAATATAAATATATAATATTTATAATATAAATGCACGTGTTTCAAGCTATATTCGTAACACTAACATATAGAGAAGAACGGGAAAGACAATACATAACAGATTTTAAATACAAAAATAGTTAAAATTTGTTCATAGAAATAAGATTGATGTAATAAAATATCGGAAATAGATAAATAAATAATTAAAAAAGTTAATTTGAAATTATAATTTAAACTAATGCTTACACTATATAAAAACACATATACTTACACTACTGTACAAAGCAGATGTTGCTTAATAAAAGTAATATATGTGTTTGTACTATATATGTACTATATATATAATTATACTATGTACTATGTATATATGTATATATGTACTGTATATATAAATTTATATAATATATAACGCATACGAAGTTTCGCGAACAAGTCCGATCTTGTCCGATACATTTAGCAATGATATAACTTATGTTAAAATTAGGTTTATCCATAGTCGCAATTCAGTGGACGTTTTCACAGGATCTAAAATTGCACATTTTGAAACTTCGATATAGGTAAGAATCTGTTAACTTATGAAAAAAGTCAAATTTAGCAAAAATATTTCAAATGATATATCAATTTTTTCATTATTTATTTCTTTTTTTAATTTTTATATAAAATTAAAATTCCTGGTATTTTTTTTATGTATTTCATAATTTATTATATTCTATTAAAATTTTTATATAATATATTATTATAAATATAATATAGTATAATATTATAAATATTCAAAATTTATAAGAATATAAATTCTGAAGATTATAATCCACATTTATATATTTATTTCAATGATTGTCATGCAAGTATCATATTGTTAAATAAGAATGTTATTTAAACATGAATGTCAAATAGACGAATTTTTAAAAAATTTTTTAATGAAAAATACATAAGATTTTTATAAAGATAA